TATCCTCAGTTCCTTTATTTCTTCTTCCTTCCTTACTTCATTTAGTAAGACTTCCAGTGCTATTATAAACAGTAGGAGTGATAGTGGGCATTCTTGCGGCATCTTCCTCTATTGATGCCCCCCCCATGCATGTTTGCTTTAGTTGGGCAGCTGCAATGACCTGTTGGTGATATACTGTATACTCACGGCACACACTCACAATATTCTTGTTCACCCCTCTCAGAAGCACCCACTACTACCACAATGAGGCAGCATGGTAGGATTTAAGGAGGGACAATTATTTTAATACATTTGCTACATGATCTGCACTGCTTACTAGTGTCACACTATTAAGCCATGTCTCCTTTATAGGAAGCCCTTCTTCTGCATTACAGGTGCCCCTGGGGTAGTATCAATCCAGAGGCACATTGTGCTCCTGTCAATTTGTAAAGCATTCCTGGCCTGCTCTCGAGTTGCCATAGGCAGGAGGGAGGGGGAACTGATGGAGCAGTATGGCAGCCGCAACCAGAAGCACATTCCATGCATACCTTTCTCAAGGCTGCATCCTAGGTTACCAGAGCCAGCTGGAGAGGTGTGAACTCTACAGCCCATGAAAGTGCTCCATTGGAGAATGTGATTTATGACACACCCTGGGAGGAGGAAGGAAACAGGGTCATAGCTGGGAAGTAAATTATGTGGAGCAGAGCTGACTTCACTTGGGTACATGCTGACATGTTGCTCCTAACAAATAACTGCATTTCTTTTAAAACTTGGCTCGAGACTCATGATTAGGGCATCTGTCAGAACCCTGACAGCTCCACTATTGGAAGCCTTTAGATCAGAGGTATCAAACTCAATTTCATTGATGGCTGCATTAGAGTTGTGTTGACCTGGGTGGTGGTGGCCAGTGGGGTGGCCAGCATGCTGTCACTCATGCCAAGAGGCACATGTCGTGGCCCAAGTGCTCTGCCAGTGAAAACAGGTTCCCAAGCACCATTTTCAGCTGCAATGGCCTCCTACAAGCTTCTGCCATTGAAAACGGAGCTTGGGGGGACGGCCCTCATGAATTCCATTTTTGCTGGCAGAGGTACTGTGGGCTGGTCCTTTGCTGTTTCCAGGGTGACCCCACGGGCCAGATCTAACTATCCTGTGGGCCAGCTCTGGCTCCTGGGCCTTGAGTTTGACACCCCTGCTTTAGATGGTCTTTAAAAACATATTTTACCCTCCCAGAATTTCTTTGGCCCAGAATTTCTGGGCCAAAGTCAAAAAGTGGCTAGAGGAGATAACACAGAAATCAATAAAGGGAGAACCAGAGCAATTCTTACTAGGGATTCCCATAGAAAATTACACAAAGGAAATACAATATTTAACATTACACATACTAACAGCAGCCCGCATAGTCTATGCGCAAAATTGGAAGAAGGAAAACTCACCAAAAGAGGAAGATTTAATTAAAAAAAAATTTAGAGTGTGCAGAGATGGACAAACTAACAAAAGAACCCAAGGAGAAAGAGGATACAGAATATTATAAAGTGTGGTGTAGATGGTATGAATGGTTGGAGAATAGGAAAAATGAGAAAGAGGAATAAAGGAGAGAGAGAGAAAATGTTAAAGATCAAGGTAAAATGTAGATAAAATAAGGGAAGATAGATAACAATGTGGAGTAAGATAAAGTTAAAATATGTGTAAATAGTAAGAAAGGACCACTTCGAAAGAGCTGTTAAAAAAAAAGTGTATGTATATAAATGTTGTACAGTATGTTTGTGTCTTGTTTTAATGTGTTTACAATAAAAAACTTCAAAAAAAAACATAATTTACCCTCAAGGTGCACAATAGGTCAGTGATGTGCCCTTGTGTTTAGTACTGTTTGGTTTGGTTCAAAATGTTTTCCTTCTTGTCACATGAGTTGCCATTTAGGTTGTTGTGGTTTAGATATTATACTGGGTTTAATGGTATGCTGCCAAAAGTAAGTTTTGGATGAGCCTAATTAATCCAAGGAAGGAAGGAAGGAAGGAAGGAAGGAAGGAAGGAAGGAAGGAAGGAAGGAAGGAAGGAGGAAGGAAGGCAGGGTTTTCCAACTCAACAAAAAAAGTTTAAAAAATTGTAAAGGAATTGGATGCTGAATCAGGTGGAGCCAATTCTGGTAGAGGAGATATTGGTAAAAGAAGGATTGAGCACAACAGTAAGAAAGACCAGGCTAGAGTCTGAAGAATAAAGGTGGCGGGGAGTCCAGACCTATTTTCCCAATGGTTCCCTTATGGTGGAGATACCTATCTAAAGTTGGTGACTAAATAATTCTAAGCACCCTTTGTCCTCCTTCCTTGCCACATTATCCAGAACCGAGGCACCAGCCCATCCTATGTTTTTCAGTAAAGATATACACACAACAAACATTGAATAAAAATATATTTAAATAAAAATATATTTTATTTAAGAGATTATTTCCATGGCCACTGCTGGTAAAGTTGAAAAGCATTCAAGAAGTCATGTCTGTATGATTGCCTATCTTTCTTTGATATCACAAAAATATATCAAGTACAGCATATCATTATATTTTTAGAAATAGAGAAGTTGTTATTACCTATAGGGAAAAGTATTCCAGGGAATGAATAAAGTATAAAAGACTACAAAGCCCATGATCCATTGGGTCATCATTTCAAAGATATTTCCTTATCTAGAAAGAGAAACAGAATTACCATAGGTGAGTAAAAAAAATTGTGAGCATGGAAGCGACTTCCGAATTCCTGTTGGCTTCCCTATTGAATTTCCTCATGGGAAATTGATAGGGAACTGGAAGGAAAAATCCTTCCTTCCTTCTGTCAACTCGCAAAGCATCCCTGACCTGCTCTCTAGTTGCCTTAGGCAAGGGGGATGAGAAAACGAACTCTGCACTGTGTTGAGGCAGCAAGTCAGTCAAAACAAAAGCACATTCCAGCCATATCTCTCTCAAGGCCATCTCTGCAGTTACTCACAGTGGCCGGAGGGGAATGATCTCTACAACCTGCGAAATTGCTTCGTTGGAGAATGTGACTGATGACACACCTTGGGGGGAGCGGGAAAACAGGGTCAGAGCTGGAATGTAAATTACATGGGGTCAGAGTTGGCTTCACTTGGAATGTGCTGACATGAAGCGCCTAATAAATAACTTGGCTCGAGACTCATGATTTAATTAGGGCATCGGTTGGAACCCTGACACCTTCCTTGCTTCCTTCTTTTCTTTCTTTCTTTCTTTCTTTCTTTCTTTCTTTCTTTCTTTCTTTCTTTCTTCCTTTCTTCCTTCCTTCCTTCCTCCCTCCCTCCCTCCCTCTCTCCCTCCCTCCCTCTCTCTCTCCAATTCCCGATAGCTCCCACAATTTTTTTTCTTGTGATTTCTGGAAAAAAGTCAATGGGAAAGCTAGCAGGAAATTGCAAGTCCAAAACCAGGAGGCAGGATATGATGGGTGATAGGTAGGGAGGGAGAGGGAGAAGGGAGGGTGGGGAAAGTATGAGAAGTGGTGAGCATTGAAAATGGTTCATAGGGATATGGCATAGGTCAGGAATGGTGTTCAGGGGTACATAAAAGTTGCAACATGATTCAGGGAGGGCCCAGTCAGGAAGACTGTTTGGGGCTGCACAGGGGTGCATGAGATGTGCCAAATGGGTCACAGAGGGCACATGGTGGGCCAGTGCAAATTGTGAAGGATATGTGGGGGATATGGTGCAAGTCAAGAAAATAGTGTGAAGAACATTTCATTCCCATGGGAGCAATGGGTTCTAGCCAGAGGTAGTATTCAGCTGGTTCTGTCTGGTTCAGGCGAACCAGTAGGTGGCGACTGTGGGAGGCTTTGCCCACCCACCTGGACATAATGTGTGAGCAAAGAGCATGCGCAGAAGGCCATGCACATTCACAGAAGAGTGTGCTAACATTTGTGAACCGGTAGGGAAGGTAAGTGAATCCCACCTCTGGTTCTAGCATTGTGTAAGTTAACCCATTTGAGGTACCTTCTTAAAACAATTGTTCCCCAATTATGAACCGCTCCTCCCAATTGAAGGTTACATACAAACAGACATGAGAGCTTTGTACTATATAGATAGCCACACATAAATGAAGAAATAGGGTTAGAAAAAATATATTCTTTGGCTGTCGGAAGTGAAAATGAGTTTCTAAAATGGCAACAATAGGTAGAGGCTCATATAGCATTACAGTTAAATAATAGAATAAATGTCTTCTGGAAAAAAAAACAAGGCTTTGACTCAGTAATAAAGCAACAATCAAATGGATGAAGATCTAACTTCTAGAGGCAGTGCATTTCATAATTGAGATGAGACCAGGGGTGGCCTTCAAAAATTTTAGCAAGGGGTTCTCTGCCAGTTGCTGGGTGGGCATGGCCATGGTGAGTGTGACCTAGTCAGCCACCTGCACCATGGTGAGGGGGAGCATTTTTGCCCTCCCCAGGCTCTGGGGGCTTTTCTCAAGCCTCCAGGAGGGTGAAAACAGCCTCCCCAGGCTCTGGAGGCCTTCGAGTAGGCCTGTTTTTCACCCTCCCCAAGCCTCCATGTGCACCCTGCACTTACCGGCATCAAAAATGGGCCACATGGGGACTCCTGGGAGGGGTGGGGGGGAGGGGAGGGGCCAGCCAGGAGTGGGATTTGGAGGTTCTCTGAACTGCACAGAAACATAGCTAGAGATTCTCCCAAACCCCTGCGAACCCCCAGCAGCCCACCCCTGGATGAGACTCTCAATGCCCTAATCAAATGGGTTTCCACACAGTTGCAACCCAACAGTCTTCAGGGTAGAAAAGTCAGAAGCCATATGAGAATTAAATAGGTAGGCTTGATAGTAGTCTGGTAATAGACAAGGCCATCTACCAGGCCTCTCTCATTGGTATGAGAGAATGTGATCCTTAGATTCTGTGGATGTATTATGGCTTTGAATTTATATAACTGTATTCCATAATAGAGTCTAGACAAGATGAAATTGGTCATGATAGATACAAACCCAATTGCTTCTACTGGGAAAAAGCATTTAATATTGGCTGAAAAAGAAACTTCGTGGTTTTAAAGTCTGCTTTTTTTCCTAGTTAAGTGTGCCTTACTGTTCAGCTCAGGTAATACTAAAATAACAAAGCATTTGGGGAAGAAGATACAGCTCAGTAAACCACCACTGGAAGCTAAGATGGAGAAGATCTCCACAGCCACCATGTATTTTCCTTTGGTGCTAAGGTAAGTTGGAACAAAAGATATCCAAACACTGCAAAACAGCAACATGCTGAAGGTGATGAACTTGGCTTCATTAAAACTGTCTGGTAGATTTCTGCTTAGGAAAGCCACAGTGAAGCTGACAATTGCCAGGAAGCCCATGAATCCCAAGACACAATAGAACATGATAGCGGAACCTTCATTACATTCTAATACAATCTCTTCTGCTACCGAGTGCATACTAAAATCTGGGAAAGGTGGATAAATTACAACCCATACAGTACAGATAGCTATTTGAATAAAGGAGCATGAAACAACAATGGAAAGGCTCAGCCTCCCCCCTACCCATTTCATCATTCTAGATCCTGGCTTGGTAACCAGGAAAGCAAGTACTACAATGATTGTTTTGGCCAATATGGAAGAAACTGCCACGGAGAAGATGATGCCAAAAGCAATTTGTCGAAAAAGACATATCCACTTGTCTGGTTGGCCAATGAACAGAAAAGAACATAGAAAGGAGAACAACAGTGCTATTAGAAGAGTATAGGTAAGGTTTCGATTGTTGGCCCTGACAATAGGAGTGTCTCTATACTTAAGGAAAATTCCAAGAACCAAAGCTGTTAAAGAAGTAAAGAAAATGGCAACAGTGGTCAAACTGATTCCCAAAGGTTCTTTGTAAGACAAAAAGCTTATACTTTTTGGAATGCAGAAGTCCTGTTTATTGCTTGGATAATGATCTTCTGGACAATTAAAACACTCCTCCATGTCTGGAGAGGGGAGAAAAAGAAATGAAGTATTTTCAGTGCAGGATTCAATAATAAATCTCAAATGAATGTTGTTTCACCTACATACGTAAAAGATTTAGACTAGCTTTGGCTGATGGGGGAGCTCTCCATTTGCAAAACATTCTTTTGTCTAATGAACACAGTGTGTTCCCTCAAGGAAGGAAGTAACTCATTCCAGTGCTTCACTGAGTGGAAGTTATAATTAGAATATTTTAAGAACAAGTCAAATGTAACATTTCTGGGTATGCCAAAATTTCCCACAATTCTCTTGAAGTGTCTTACTACATATAGTGATGTCATTCTTCTCACCAAATCACACATTCTTTTTTATCTTATTTATACATTCATCACTTTTACATCAATTCATTATAAAAATGGTGAGGAAATCAATATTTTAGGATACACCAATAAACCTTCCTTCCTTCCTTCCTTCCTTCCTTCCTTCCTTCCTTCCTTCCTCCGTCCTTCCCTCCCTCCCTCCCTCTCTTCCTTCTCCTTTTGCCATATTTTGTTTTCCAAATTTCATGTTTATATATTGCATTTATATTCTGCCTTTTCAGGGAGAGCTCAAAGAAACATTTAAAAGTTCCATTCATACCACGTTATTTTATTTTTGCATAATCTTAGAAGGCAAATTAAGATTTGCAACGAATGAAAAGAGATTTGACTTGAGATCTTGGCCCTGACCACCTCACCAAAATATGATGGTTTACTCAAGAGCAAACAAGCACACATATCATTACATTAGGCCAGGGATATTTCATTATTTAGTTAATAAATAAATAAATAAATATTACCACTCTTGTTTGAAAACTTCCCTTGAGAACATGGAAGGCATTCATAACAACAAAATGGCTTATCTTCAATTTTTGTTTTCCTATAACCTGAAGGACAATTGCTGTTGCATAGAGAAAGAGGACGTATCTGTTGGTAAATGAGACCAGGCATTGTATTAGAACTAATTTCATTCCATCTGCAATACGACATTCAGGTATAAAATCCTGTCAGTGAATGGGGTATTTTTTGGAAATTATTAGAGTATTCTTTGCCTAATGAAGGATTCAGAAATCAATATACTTCTAAGTGACATGCTGTCTATTTAGCATAACAATGCAATGTACTGTCCAAACAAATACATAGTACTTGATACATAGACTATAAGTACAAGATACATAGACTATCTTTGTTGATCAAGGAAGCTAAATTTATGCATCCCTGTCATCACCATGAGATGTGACTGACAGATGGGAGGTTATCTGAATTCCCTTGCATTAGGTATTAAGTGGGATGAGACCGGGGTGGGCTGTTGGGGCTGTTTGCAGGGGTTTGGGAGAACTTCTAGCTAAGATTCTGTGCAGTTTGGAGAACCCTCAAATCTCACTCCTAGCTGGCCCCGTCCACCCCACCCCGCCCCTCCCAGAAGTCCCCACGTGGCCCATTTTGGATGCAAGTAAGTACAGGTTGCACGTGGAGGCTTTGGGAGGGCAAAAAATGAGCCTACCGGAAATTCGGGAAGGTTGGAAACAGGCCCATTTCCAGCCTCCACAGGGCCTCCAGAGCCTGGGGAGGCCATTTTCACCCTCTCAGAGACTCGAAGAAAACCTCCAGAGCCTGGGGAGGGCAAAAATGCCCTCCCCATGTGCAGGAGGCCAGCTAGGCCACACCCACCAGGGTCACGCCCACCTAGCAACTGGGCAGAGAACCCCTTGCTAAAATTTTTGAAGGCCCCCTAGATGAGATTGTTATATTTTTCTGAAATATGACCTACCTGCTTAAACATGTTGGGCCAGATGATGTCATCTGCAGAAATAGTGAGAACCGCTTCTGGTTGAGCCAAAGGATCTAGCTTTCCAACTTTGACTCTAATAAAGGACTGATTTGGGAATGTGACCCAGTTAATAATATCAAATGCAGCAATTAACTTCCCATTTTGATCAAAGGAGACCTTTTCCCCAGCACTGTTGTTAAATGAAACACTTCTCAAATAGTACTGGAGCTAAACAGAATCAATATACGATTATGTAACCATTCAAAAGACAAGCATATAAAGGATATTTAGTGGTCAGTTTATTAATCTTTTATGGTCTCTATGCATTTCAATCGTAAAAGCAATTCAAGATTTACAATTATATACTTACATTATGCATTCAAAGATCTATATACTATAGCCTATAATACTATCAAACAGTATTAAATGTAGACCTTTTATTGTATTGTTTTGTTGTCAACCACCACAAACATTCTGAACTACAGGAATAAATTACAATAAAGATTTTCAATATTGCACAGTTTCCAAAAGAGAGAGAGAGAGAGAGAGAGAGAGAGAGAGAGAGAGAGAGAGAGAGGGAGAGAGAGAGAGAGAGAGAGAAGAAAAATCTAATGAACATGAAACATAAATTGGTTGGAGAAAAGGAAAGATAGATGTAGATGCTTAGATGTAGATATATACTGGAATTCATATATGACCAATAGATGTCAAAGATTTAATTTTTCTAGTAAAGCTGTCTAAGTACACTACAATGATGTAGGAGCTGAGGTGGCGCAGTGGTTAGAGTGCTGTACTGCAGCTACTTCAGCTGACTGCTAGTTCAGCAGATCAGCGGATCAAATCTCACCGGCTCAAGGTTGACTCAGCCTTCCATCCTTCCGAGGTGGGTATAATGAGGACTCAGATTGTTGGGGGCAATATGCTATTTAGTATACTGTCGATTGTTGTAAGCCGCCCAGAGTCCTCGGAGAGTGGGCAGCATAGAAATATGATTAATAAAATAAATAAAAAATGATCATTTCACTGATTTGTGATGGTGAACTTATCCATGGAATTCCTCATTGTGTTATTCAACTATACCTGCTGTCTGTTTTCTGTTTTCATTCTGTTAGTTTTGTTAAGTTTTTTTTTTAATATTAGCAACCTTGATTCTTTCCAATTTGGTTGCTGTAAACATTGATGATAATGACACAATTTTGAGGACCAGTAAAGCCATGGAGATAGGCAATGTGATTCTTTCATTTTTAGCATTAGCCAAGAGAAGCCTGACATATTGAAACTGCCATTTATCTTCTTTAGATAACGGAGTAATAGAGTTGTAGCATTTTATACATGTGATGAAGATCATTTAAGACAACTAGATGATCATGAATAATAATTACTTTTTGTTTAGCAAATAACTTCCCATCTTGTCTCCCAAAACAGAATATTATGGCACAAAATTAAGTATAAAGGGAGAAAGAATGTGAAAACTTAGTGGATTCAATGGTGTGATATGGAGAAAATAATAATAGGAAAAAATCTCATTGCGTCCCCATTGGAGATATAATTGGGCATCACCTCCAAATGTTCTGGCTCCTCTATTGTAGGCACTCCATAATACCTCTGGTCACATGATCCAAACTAGAGGTTATGCAAAACCACTCTTTGCAGATATAGGAACTGTAAAATAACATCCCTGGAGATCTAGTTATTGGGTGGAACAGTATCCCCCTTTAGATTCAGATGGCCCTGATCATTCTAGCTTTTTACTTAGACCTGTTGGTTCTCTGAATCATTTGGGCAAATAAATTAAGAAAGTTCTGCTGGTTAGATTGATTGTTTCTTTTTCTTTGTTTGAAGTTGGACCTTTTCTTTTTAGCTTCTGATATTGTTCCTTTCACTTTATTGCTTATTGAATTTTTTTGTATACCCATTAGAGTCATTGCTAGGAGATGACCAGTGTAAATAAATAAATAAACAAACACAGAGAGATCAAACATAAGGGGTAAGTAGAAACATACCAAAGATATAATTCATATGAATTCTTCCTGATTAGACATGCCACACACCAGCACATATACAGAGGCAATATATACCATACATACAACACAGTGGTGTGTTTCTACTGACTGGCCCCGGTTCGGGAGAACTGGTAGCGGTGGTAGTAGGACACTCTGCCCACCCACCTGGACGTCATCACGGATGCTCTGTGCATGCACGAAGATTCTGCGCATGCACAGAAATGCCGCACGCAAGTGAAGCAAGCACATGTCCTTTCCCGAACTGGTAGCGAAGGTAAGTGAAACCCACTACTGATACAACACACACACACATACAAACACATATGAGATGAAACAAAATAATTCACCACACAGAAGAAAACACTAAGGCCTCTTGTTGACACTACAGGTGGAAATTGGAAAGACTTCTACTGCAGAAGTCATGCTTTGAGTGATGTTCCTATCTTGCTTTTAAAAGAAATTTCAGCAACATTTCTTTATATCTAATGATGGGGAAAAAAATATATTTAGCTTGCTACAATAGTTATTTTCTTTTGGACATGAACCATATTTTTCAGAGTATAAGACGCACCTTTTTCTTCCCTAAAAGGGGGTGAAAATTTGGAAGTGTCTTATACACCGAATGTGGCCCCGCCCACCCACTGGCACTCACCCTATGGCCTCTGCCTCCCAGCAGCAAGCAGCAAGCAGCAAGAAGAAACAGCCCATTTCAGCTTCCACAAGCCTAATTAGCACAAATTCATTGTCCGTTGGATCGGCCTCCCAACTCTCAGCTGTTTCAGGCTGCAGGAATTGCCATTGCCTATTGCTGTGCAGGCCTCTGCTGCTTGCTGTAAAGAGGTAAATTGCTGGGAGTAGATTTTTTTTCTTGTGCTAATCAAGCTATGCCAAAAACAAAAGTGAAAGTAAAGCAGGCTGTTTGCTGCAACAAGGTAAATTGCTGGGAGGCAGAGGTAGATTTCTTTTTCTTATTTTCCTCACCAAAAAAGGTAGGTGTGTCTTATAGTTCAGAGTGCCTTATACTCCAAAAAATACAGGATTTGGTGGATAAATTGTCCAAGCTTCCTGACTGCCTATGTTTTATTACATGCATTCCAACAGAATAACACACAATAATGATTACACACTGTCAGATGTAAATGCCTTATTCCCTAATGTGTAAATAATGTATATATGGGATATCAGGGGTTAACTTATTCTTTGACTCTTAATGTATTCATAATTCACCACTCCCACTCTTGGCTCCACCCTTTGTATATATAAAGAGCCACCTTCACCATTTTCTTTGCTTCTATCCGTGAATATTCAGTGAATATAGAATGCCTATTATAATTAAAGAGAAATATATTTAAACCTCTAACTCTTATTATTATTATTGAGTCTGATCCTGAAAATATTGCAACAAGCTGGTAGCAGAGGATGGTTAATTGACTCAATAAATACCTAAAAATGTCTAAGAAAGATAGGCCCAACACCAGGGCCTACAGCAAAGAAATAGAAACTGAACAAGAAATAATCAACGAATCCACAAACGCGATTTCGAGAGAATCCGGAGAATACACCACTGAAGAAGAAGAATTAATAAATGAAAATGATGGCCAGGAGGAAATCGAAATAGAAAATAACGAACTCAGGTCAGAGATATTGAAGTTATTAAAAAGCCAGAAGAATGATGAAAGCCTCATCGCGAACCTCCAAGAAATGCTGAAGAACAGCGGAGCAGCGAGAGAGAAAAACATCGCTAAAGAGAAACTCAAAGACCAAAAAACTGTGAGTGATATGACTACAGAGAAAGTCGTTATGAAAAAGAAAAAATGTGATCCCGCGCGAAATTTTGAATGGCAGCCATCTTGGTTTCAACAAGCCTCCAAAGTGAGCGAAGCAGAGCCAATCAAAATGCTCAGGTCAAAATTTCTAGCGCGAAAAACGTTATCAGACAACGAAAGTGAAAAGGAGGATTCAAACTCTTCGGAAGAGCCAGAATCAGAAAGTGAAGACGACTTAACGAAATCCCAAGTAAAGTCAGCAATGAAGACACTTTTTGCTGCATTTGGGCCAAAATTAAAAATTTCCAAAGCGCCAACGAAGAAGCAAGCGAACAAGCCGATACTTCAAGACCTGCACGCTCCCATCCTGACTTCGAGAGCGACGACGCCCGAGCCCAGAGAGCCATGTCGATTCCGCCCTACACCGCAGACCGAAGCAAGTGCCAACGCACCCAAAAGAAAGAGAAGAACAGTCGCCGCCATCAGAACTCCTAAGACCGAGCCAGAGACCGACTCGTCTGAAGAGGAGCGGAGCGAGCGAGCTACAATGGAGAGAACCTTCCACGACGACGCCAAAGAATAAATGAACAACGCGCATGTGCGAAACTACGTAGACGGTCCGGAAAGACTTGAACTGGCCAGAGAACCGCGCAGACTCGTTGCGAGCATCCCCATGCCGTTTTGCAATTTCCTACACTTGCGAGACCACGGACTACCTCAGGTTGTAAGTAATGGACAAAATAATGTGGGAAACTTACCCAGTGACTTCCCAAAACTTAGGGTTGATGGCATTAATTTGCAAGAATGGTACCAACAGCTCCAGGTTGTCTTTATGAAAGAAAATTTACTATTTTTTATCACTAGTCCCCCAAGAAGACCTTGGACTTTAAAAATAGATTGTTTACACCATAAGGCATTTTTCTTAATAATATCTAGCGTGTCTCCTGCAATGTATCATAGCATCAAACCAAATCTAACTGTTTCAGAAATAATTCAATGCATGTTTAATTTGTTTCACAGCGATAGTGTAGCTACCACCACAAGAATGTCTAAGGACTTCTTTTCTTCCAGAGTAAAACCAGGGGTTTCCATAAGTGAGCATTTAATATCTTTAAACAAAATAAGAGCTGAGCTGCATTTGAGGGGGGAAGTGATTTCAGATCAAACAATGAAAAGTGTTATTATCAACTCACTTGATTCATCATGGGATAGTTTTATGTCACACTTAGACACCATCAATCTAGGATATTTATCAATAGAAAGTCTGTCTAACAAATTGATAGCAGAAGACAATTCAAGAAAAAATCGTTATAGCAATCACACAGAACACAAATCTTTTAGGAAGGTAGCTTTCCAAGAAAAATATAATGAAACTTTTAAATGCCACAATTGTGGGTCCAGGGAACACAATAGAAGAGATTGTCCCAAAATTTCAAAGGAAAGACATAGGTCAGAATATAGGAATAAATACAATTATAGACAGTCTTCCACAGATAGACATAAATATAGAAGCCCACCAAATTACAGAGAAAGTAGAGGGGGCAGAGAAAATTCAAAAGAGAGAAAATCTGGTTCACTGAATGGACTAAATAAACAAGACAGCACTAAAACGCAACAAAATGAGAACAATAATTGGCTTATTGATTCTGGGGCAACTAATCACACCACTAATAACAAAAATATATTGTCTTCATTTACAGAAGATAAGTTTGTAATAAAGGTAGCTAATCAAGAAAAAGTTCAAGTATTAGGCAGAGGGAATGTGACCTTGCCTGGTCTAGGAAAAATAGAGGGGGTATTGTTAATACCAGAAATACCTCATAACATACTAAGTGCCATAAAACTAAGCAGAGATTCTGACATCAATATAGTTTTCTCAAAGGGAAAAGCAACTTTAGAGAAGAATAAAACAAATGTAGGCACTGTGATGATTAAAGGAGGCCTACCCTATCTGATAACAAAAGAAAGATGGTTACATAACATTGATTCAAATATGGAAGATTGTATTGAGGCAGATGATGAAAATATTAGTAACAGTGACAATGATGAATGTAAAATATCTCATGATCACACAGATACACACAATGAGAAGAAACCAAAAATAGGTAAACCAATTCATGACGAGTGTGCTCACATCTTACATAGGAAGTTAGGACATGCAAGTTTTCCTGTAGTACAAAAAATGACTGAACACGCAGAAGGTGTCAAAATAAAAAATTGTGAAAATTATTTGGAATGCTCAGTATGTAAATCTACTAAAATAAAAACTAGTCCCAGGCCAAAAAAATCCACCAGATCAACTAACAAAATTTTTGACTTAGTACACATGGACTTAGTTGGCCCATTAACTCCATCAATCACTTATAGAAAACGTTACTTCCTAACAATAGTAGACGATTACAGTCGCTATGGTTTTGTTTACACATTAAAACACAAGGATGAAACCTTTCAAAAATTTAAGGAATTTTACAAACGCATAGAAACACAACATAATATCAGAATAAAACAAATTATGACAGATAGGGGATGTGAATTCATGTCTAAAGAATTCTCCCAATGGTTAAAGGATAGAGGAATGCTACATTACACGTCTAGTCCATTTTCTGCGTTCCAGAACGGGATTGCAGAGAGAAAGAATTCCACATTACAAACCATGATTAGGTGCACATTAGAGGATGCTGGTTTAGGCAAACAATTTTGGTCAGAAGCCTTACATTATTCAAATTACACTCAAAATAGAACCTGGTCCAGTATTGTGAATAAGACACCATATGAGGTGATGTATAATAGGAAACCAAAATTAGCACACATGCACATATTTGGGGTCACTGCAGACGTACACATACCTAAACAGTTGAGAAGAAAGGGAGAAAACGTATCCAGAAGACTAAGATTTATGGGATATGAAACTGGCACCAAAGGGTACAGATTCATTGATAATAATAACAAATTTATAGTTTCCAGAACAGCTGTGTTCCATGAACAGGCCAACTGGTCTAAATTACATCTTAATGAAATATTTCCAAATAAATGCATAGATACAAAATCTCGTGAGGAAGGGACAATAGAAAATCAAAATATCAACAAAAATAAAAACAAAACCAAAACATGGACAAATAGTCAACACAAAATAAAGACAGACACATTAACAAAAAAGGAAGCAAGATATTTGCATGACTACCATAGCAAACCTGAAAGAGCTATTAGGAACAACAGAAATCAAATACCAAATAAATACAGAGATTACATAATGCATATGGATGGTGAACAAATAACACCTAATACATATGAGGAAGTATTAAAACTCCCTCGTGAAGAAAAGGAAAAATGTGAACTAGCTATGAAAAAAGAGATGGAAAGTTTGCAAGGATTAAATGTATTCACACCTGCGATTGCACCTAAAGATAAAACAATTATTGGTACCAGGTGGATTTATAAAATTAAGAACCTAGAAGGAGGCAATACCCTATACAAAGCTAGATTGGTTGCACAAGGTTATGCACAAAAATATCCGGAGGACTATACTGACACGTACTCCCCCACAGTAAGAACAGAGAGTGTTAAAACAGCTCTAGTAGTAGCATCCGCACTCAATCTTGATGTATTTCAATATGACATACAGACTGCGTATCTACACGCAAAACTAGATAAGGAAATATATGTAAGAGCACCTCACAGTCAATACACTAATAAAAATGAAATTTGGCTATTGAACAAGAGTTTATACGGATTAAAGCAATCTGGCAAAAGATGGTACGATTGCTTGGTAAAAGTACTTAAGACCATGGATTTCAACGCTACCACTGCTGATAACTGTTTCTTTGTCAAAAAGAGTGATGATTACATTGAATTTGTATTGATTTATGTAGATGATATTTTATATATAGGAAAACACAAAGAGAGAAGAGAAATCTTTGTAAACAAGCTAAATGAACATTTCTCGTTGAAATCTCTAGGTAAAGTAAACAAATACCTTGGTGTACAAATTAACAAAACTAGAAGGGGATTCAAACTTACTCAGAAAGATAAGATTATTGAACTTCTAAACAAATGCAATTTAAACAATGCCAAACCCTGTGATACTCCTATGCAAACTGATTTCCTTAGAAATACTGATGAATCTTCCCCTGAATTCAAGGATAATACATTTTATAGATCAGTCATAGGTTCACTTCTTTATATATCTAATTGGACTAGGCCAGATATTGCATTACCACTCAATTTATTATCAAGGCACGTTAGCAAACCAACAATGTATCACTGGGAAGCTGTCAAAAGAATTTTAAGATATCTGAAAAGTACATTAGACTTTTGCCTAGTATTAGAACCTAGTGATAATAAAGAACCAAAACTTACATGTTACGCAGATGCGGATTGGGCTGGAGATATATCATGCAGAAAAAGTACTTCTGGTTATATTTTTCTGTTAAATGACTGTCCAGTTTACTGGTACACTGGTAAACAAGAACTGGTAGCCACTTCAACCACAGAAGCGGAATATGTTTGTTTATCCAAAGCTGCAAATAACCTTGTATGGTTTAATGATTTAATTTCAGATGTTTGGAAAAAACCTGCTTTGCCTTTTGTTATGCATGAAGACAATAAAGCAGCCATTGAAATATCTAGATCCGATGCCATTGGACAAAGATCCAGGCATATAGATATAAAATTTAAGCATGTGAGACAATTGTCTCAAGATGGATTTATCAAAGCAGTGCATTGTGATACCTCTGAACAATTAGCTGACATATTGACGAAGCCTTTACCTTCTAAACAGCACAAATACTTAACTTCCAAATTGTATGTCTTATATTGTCCTGAATCTGAATGTAATTGGTGTTGTATAGCGAACCGGCATTTAGAGGGGGATTTGTCAGATGTAAATGCCTTATTCCCTAATGTGTAAATAATGTATATATGGGATATCAGGGGTTAACTTATTCTTTGACTCTTAATGTATTCATAATTCACCACTCCCACTCTTGGCTCCACCCTTTGTATATATAAAGAGCCACCTTCACCATTTTCTTTGCTTCTATCTGTGAATATTCAGTGAATATAGAATGCCTATTATAATTAAAGAGAAATATATTTAAACCTCTAACTCTTATTATTATTATTGAGTCTGATCCTGAAAATATTGCAACACACACTTTTTTATAATGATCGAATTGATTTTTTTAAAAAAAACTCCAGAATACAAGCCAACTATCTAAATCATTGAGACGAAGCTTCTGAACAAAATTGAGAGATATTTCATATTCCTGCTATGTTAATTCTCTTGCATTAGCAAGCTGAGTTCCTTACCTGCCATAGTTGATTCTGAAGAAACTTTTTTCCATTGCTGATACTTCTTCGGTGTCTGAATTTGGATGAATACATGGCTTGCAGAGCATAGGCTACATTATAAACAGCATTGTAAACATTATAGCTCTGGCCAGTCATACCAATTTCAAAAACAGATGCAGGAAGATCTTCCATTTTCTCGTTCCCAGTGCATCTGTCTCCGCTCTTTTCATCTACGAAAGCCTTAGGTAAAGAGCAGTCAAATACCTGTTCCCAGAAGACATTGATGAAGCTGTCCTGGCTTTTGGAAGTTGGGTTTCGAGTCCGAACAAATTCCTCAAAGCCTAACACTTCTTTTGAGGAAACTGCAAATGATAGAGCACCATGGATGAAATCTAGTCCCCAGATTTTTTGAAAAGGAAGGGACGTGAACTCCATCTGGGCTGTCATAATCCATACTTTATCTTTGGTTTCAAAAGATATGTCTTCAAATGATGAAACGTAGGGAATCATTCTCAAAAATATCATGATCTGATTTTCTCCATATATGACGACAACATTGGCAGTGCTCTTCATGATATTTTTGAATGTTTCAATCCAGTCTTCTATCATTATACTTATATCAGCGGAAAAAGATTCTTTGGGCAGATCTTGTATGAAATCAAAGCAGATACCTTTCTGGGAAAACAAATTGTATGCTTTCTGCACAAACCTTTCGCCACTGTGACTTTCAAAATAAACTAACCCAATCCATATCCATTTAAAATGCAGTAGCAACTGGAGTATTCCCATAGTTTGGTCATCATCCTCTGGAAACATTTGGTGAAAAAAATCAGCCTGGTCATAGTTATTCATCAGTGGAGCAGAGCCATAGATGATCTGAAGGATATATATATTTTTTTTTGAAAAAATAAGGAGCTTAGAGGATGAAGCCCCAAAATCTTGATATTGTTTTTTTCATTCTCTATAAAACTTAATTGCAAACACTTATTCACATATAATTTAACAGAGTTTTCTAACTTAGGGAAACATCATTTCTCTTATTTTTTTCTGAATATGGCAATAGCAATAACACTTAGACTTATAGTGCATTTACAGCCCTCTCTAAGTGGTTTACAGAGTCAGCCTCTTGCCCCCAACAATTTGAGTCCTCATTTTACCCACCTCAGAAGGATGGAAGACTGAGTCAACCTTGAACCTGGTCAGATTTGAACTGCCAAATTGCAGTCAGCCAGCAGTCAGCAGAAGTAGCCTGCAGTACTGCACTCTAACCACTGTGCCACTGTGGCTCAGTATGCTTACAATTGCAAACAGCAGATGCTGTAAATTGTTGATTCAGGAAATGTTACATACAGATCAGTGGTGAAATGTAAAATTTGTTACTACCAGTTCTGTGGGCATGGCTTGGTGGAGGGTAATGTGACTGGGTGGGTGTGGCCAACTTTTTTTTTTTTACTTTTAAAACCATTTTTTCTACAACCTCTTTGGCCAAATGTGTATAACTTATAGGACACCCAATTTTAGGACACCTACCCTCAAAACTTCCATCCTTTCTAAGGTAGGTAAAATGAGGACCCAGATTGTGGGGGCAATAAGCTGACTTTGTATAAATATACAAAAAAGTATGACGGCTATTGCTTAACGCATTGTAAGCCGCCCTGAGTCTCCGGAGAAGGGCGGCATATAAATCAAATTAAAAAAAAAATAAAAACAAAAGAACAACAACAACAACAAAACGATGTTATAGAGCACTGCACACCAGAACAACTAGATACAAGAACAGTTTCTTCCCTCTGCTAAACAAATAATCCACTCAGCACTGTAAAACTAGTTACTAAGTCTGCCTTACTATTAATCTTCTCATCGTTCCTATCACCCATCTCCTCCCACTTATGACTATATGACTGTAATGTTGTTGCTGATATCCTTAAGATTTATATTGACTGTTTCCTAATATGTTTGATTACTTATTTGTTCCCTATGACTCTCATTAAGTGTTGTACCTTATGATTTTTGACGAATGTATCTTTTCTTTTATGTACACCGAGAGCGTATGCACCAAGACAAATTCCTTGTGTGTCCAATCACACTTGGCCAATAAAGAATTCTATTCTATTCTATTCTATTCTATTCTATTCTATTCTATTCTATTCTATTCTATTCTATTCTATTCTATTCTCGAGCAGTTCTTGCCTGGGGATCTAATAAATGTGCAATTTGTTTAATGAATCTAAAGGATGCCTTCCATATGAGAAAATCTTACCTGTGGGACTTTATAATTCCTCAGAATGTTGGCTATGTGTTGATAGATGTGAGAGGTTGGTCCTGCAATTACAGCAACTGTACTATCCTGGCTATCACATTTATAATTAGGGATGAATTTGTCCTTACTGGAGAGAAGCTTCATTGAAGCAAAATAAGTCCACCTTGCCATGAAATAACTATTGAAAATTTGGATGCCTAGGGTGATGTTAGGTAAGAGATAGGCCATTTCATTGATTTCATTGACAGTGAAAGCCAAGGACAGGATATGTTGGTAGTTCTGCAAGAATACCCTAGAAGAAGAATTAGACCCTTAGCCATAGTACAGTATATCTGATTTTTTAAAATGATTTTTTTTTTTTTTTGGTATTTAAACATTTATGCTAGAAGCATATATTTTATTTATTTATATCCTGCCTTTATTATTTTTTGTTTTACAAATAACTCAAGGTGGTGAACTTATCCAACACACCTTCTTCCTCCTATTTTCCCTTCAACACCAATCCTATGAAGTGAGTTGGTCTGAGAGAGAGAGTGTGACTCAGCTGGCTTTGTTGGTTAAGGCAGGCAAAAACTCACTAAAACATTGGAAAAGCATTTAGTCTCAGTGCAAACATTTGTAAAAAGATCATAAAGATCATGTTGCAAAATCCTTATTGAGAAATAATGAAGATACTCTTAGTGAAACAAACACAAATAAAAGCAAAAGCATGTTTGCGTCTGATCACACAAACTGCTGTGCTGTGAACCGTCCATGCAGAGATCATTCCATTACATTTTTTTAAAAAGGAAGAATATTCAAATAAGCAACAAAGAATATAGATTATCGAAAACAGCTAAAGCTATAGCCAAATAACAGGATGGCATAGGGAATATGCCAACAGTCTGGATTCATATAGAACAAAATGTTTATAATCAACTAACAAATCTTTTCACACTAACCGGTTCGACCTCAAGGGACTGGGGGAAAATACAAAATGAATCATATTGCAGATTATGCAGCCTTTCCCCTTAGCACCTATGATACATTTGCAGTATCATATGCCAACTGATATATTTGTCAGAGAGAAGCACATTAAAGGACATTGGAGAAAAAAATGCAACTATTTAGCTTATTTTTTAAAAAAAAATAGTGCAGCAATCATCTGGCCTCACTGAGGTATAATTAAATCTCTCAATCTCCTTCTCTGTGTATGCATTCTGGACTGCCATATAATATGATGACAATTAACAACTCCATACATGACATCCCCAACCGGATCTTCAGACATATGTCTTCTGAATGTTGTCAGATCTGAAAGCATGTAGATTTGAGAAATAATGCCCCCAATGATGAGATCTCCTGATTGATAATATTTATGTTGAATAGGAAGAGGTGTGCTAACAATACATTTAGTTTCAGGGGTACAGGATACCCATTGGGGTAATAGCAACAACACTAGCATTGTGAATGATGCCATTGCATGCCAACATCTACTGACACTGAAGCACCTGTGAGGATTGCTTTGCTGCCCAATAACCATCTGACTTCAAGCCATAACTGGATAATGCAGTTCTTCAGCTTCCTAGAACTGTATGAGTCTTTTTGTCCCAGCTATGAATGAGGGAACACAGACACCCAAGTCTTATTTCATTGTGTTTTCCAGCCACCAGGTCATATTGAGGATTGAAGAAAAAAATCAAATTAATCATAGTCATTTTACTAATTACAGGGAAGGTAACCATATCCGATAGTTGAAGTGCCTTTGTAATACTGCAGGAAAAAAATGAACTGCATCCAGATTTAAGATTTTTTTTTTTTAAAAAAAAGATTTTTTATTTTTTACACAAACAAACAAACAAACATACAATGTATTTTTTTTAACAGAGTATTGACCGGTTGACAAATTTAGACAATTTTTAATCATTTCAACACAATTTATGTATTCCCTTTTTGCCATAGTATTTATTCTTTCTATTTTTTTATAGACCAATATTACCCTTCATCCTAACTTCTAATCTTAACCAAATTCAATTTTTCCCTTCATCTCTATATTAAACCCCTTAAATTTAAAATCTCACATAATATAATTCCTAGTATTTCCTTATATTCCCTTAGTATAATCACTAGTATTTTCCATTATCAGCTATTTCAATATCCAACATCTTAATAAAAATCAATTAATTATGTAGTATTACAATCATTCCTTTCTTATAAAAATAATAAACCAGGAAGCATTGGATTTCATCTGAAGCATTGGATTTGACTGGAAGCATCACAGCGAGAAAGTCAGGGAAATAGTGGGCTCCGATGAGCTCCACAAAATCCCAGGCTGACAAACCGTTGCTGAGGGGTCTTCGGACCGGAACCGTCTTGTAGGGATGGAGAAGAAAGAGAGGTACCTCAGAAGACCAAGAGGAACAAGCAAGTTCCTCGAAGGTCAGAGGAAACTAACACCAAGCCCAGGGTGGTTCCTGGTGGTGTCTGGGGAAAGTGATGATGAGGACCCAGAAGATCTGATGGTGAGCAACCCCATTCAGCCCTTTGTAATTCCTGTTGTCATCTGGAACCTTCACTCTTCTCAAGGGATTGAATACAGGGCCCTAGTAGATTCAGGGTGCACACGTTGCCTGAACCACCATGCTGTGATAACCGAACTGGGGGTCAGAACCATCAGGATGAAAACCCCTATCAAGTTCGAACAGATGGATGGCTCATTATTGGGGTGGGGGTGGCCACCTCTTTAACTGAACAAGTCCAGTTAGAGATAGGAAACCATCGGGAAAGCATCCGATTCATTATAGTGGAAAGCATACTTGCATTTTTAGGTTGCTTTGAACTGCTATGTGGGCAGGAGCTAGGGGCAAATAATAGGAGCTCACACTACCACCTGGTTCTAGTTCACCCCTGTGGTTTGCCCTAGATAACACACATGCATGAACAAAGTGAACTGGCAAGTCTTAGACTGCCAGAACTACTGGTTAAAAGCATTGAAGCTTTCCCTGGCTATAGGTGCTTTAAAAAACCCTCTTCGCTTTCTTTGTTTTTCTTTTTTAATTCCATTTTTTTATATTAGTTTATTTTTCTTTCTGAGAAAATTTCCAATAATATTATAAAAATGGTATAATCAATGAATGAAAATAGAACAATAAAACAGAGAGAAGAAATCATGTACACTCATAATAAAGGATATATCAGCAAAGAAGAGGCAATAATTGTTCAATGCCAACCTAACATAAGCCATTGGAAAACTGTATTTTTAAAGATTTGTGGAATAGCATCAGGGTTAGGACCAATACTTTGATTGTACCCTGTGCAAAGCAATTATGTTTGGAAGAGTTGGTGATAAAAGGAAACCATCAAAGAAAATGATTGTTGGACACTATCAGACCTGACACAAGCCAGAGCATAGAAAATAAAGAAATAGTGCAAGATCAAAAGGTGTGGACAGACCAGAAGTGGGTTTCAGCAGGTTCTGACCAGTTCTGGAGAACCGGTAGCAGAAATTTTGAGTAGTTCGGAGAACCGGTACTAAAAATTCTGACTGGCCCCGCCCCCATTTATTCTCTGCCTCCAAAGTCGCAAATGATCGGGAGGAAATGGGGATTTTGTAATATCCTTCCCCTGGATTGGGGAAGGAATGGAGATTTTACGGTATCCTTCCCCTGGAGTAGGGTGGGAATGGAGATTTTACAGTATCTTTCCCTTGCCATGCCCACCAAGCCACGTCCACAAAGCATGCCATGCCCACCAAGTTGCACCCACAGAACCGGTAGTAAAAATTTTTGAAACCCTGCACTGGGACAAACCCATAGAATCACCAAGAGTCGGATTCAACTGAATAGATAATATCATCATCAATTTCTTTATTAAGTGAAGCAGTCACTAATTGAAACAATGACTATACAGATAATCCTCGACTTCCAACAGTTTTTTTTAGTGACCATTCAAAGTTACAATGGCATTGAAAAATGTGACTTATAACCATTTTTCACAGTTACAATCTTTGTAGCATCCTCATGATCATGAGATCAAAATTCAGATGCTTGGCAAGTAGTTCATATTTATGACCATTGCTGTACCCAAGGTCATGTGATCTCCTTTTGCGACCTTCTGACAATCAAAGTCAATGGGGCAGCCAGATTCACTTAACAACTGCATTACTAACCTTTAAACTGCAGTGATTAACAATTATGAAAAGAAAAGTCATAAAACGAAGCAAAACTCACTTAACAAATGTCTCACTTACCAACAGAAATTTTGGGCTCAGTTGTGGTAGTAAGTCAAGGGCTACCTGTACTAATGATCTTACTTCAGCTTTCTTTGCTTTACAGAATTTTAGAGGTTGTAGATTACTCACAATTATTTTTTTATCCATCATTATAAATAGGAATGGTCAGTTCTTCAATAAAGCAGTTGCTAAACAACAACTATATCATTTATAATATACCATTCATTGTTTCTTGCTTTTCAGTAACTCCCTCTTATTGTTCAGGTGAGGTCTCAGAAGAATAATAAAACATTTGGGAAAACAGATGCAGCCCAATAACCCTGCACTGGAAGATAATATGGAAAAGATCTCCACAGCCACCATGTATTTTCCCTTGGTGCTAAGATATGTTGGAAAAAACGACAGCCACACACTACAAAAACACAAAAGGCTGAAGAAGATAAATTTGGTCTCATTAAAACTGTTTGGTAAATTCCGGGATAGAAAGGCCACACTGAAACCAACAATGGCAAGGAAAAGAAGGTAGAGTAACACACAATAAAACATGAGAGTAGAGCCTTCATTACATCCCAGGATGATTTCATCTGCCACTAAATTCATATCAGCATCTGGATATGGGGGTGAGGTTATAAGCCATACAGTACAGGCAAGGACTTGAATGAGGGAACAAGAAACAACAATGTAATTATCTAATCGTTTGCCCAGCCATCTCTTCATCTTGGATCCTGGCATTGAAGCCATGAAAACGATCACCACGATGATGGTTTTGGCCAATATACAAGAAATGGCTACTGAGAAGACAATCCCAAAAGCAGGTTGTTGGAAAAGGCAGGTGACCTTTTCAGGTTGTCCAATAAATAACAAACTGCAAAGGAATGAGAGCACAAGGGAGATGAGAAGAAGGTAGGTGATGTTCCGGTTGTTGGCCTTGACTATGGGAGTGTCCTGGTATTTGATGAATATCCCAAGTACCACAGTGGCAATGCAAGCAAAGACAATTGCTGTAATGGCCAAACTGGTCCCTAATGGATCTTCATAAGACAGGAAAACTACCTGTTTTGGAAGGCATGAATCATGGTTATCATTTGGATACTGTCCTTCTGGGCATGGTAAACAATCATCCATGTCTGCAAAAGGAAATGCTATTATTACAGTGTAGAAGATTATACATGATTTAAGACATGGTTAATATTGACTGAAGAAAGAAGTTTAGCAAAATGGTTAATGCATAATATTTCAATGGGAAACTGCCTAAGAATTATTTTTATTATTTTATTTATTGAATTTCTACACTATCCATCTCACCTAAATGATTTTGGGCAAATTATAGCAATATAATAAAATAAAAATAAGTTGTAAAGCTGTTGGGAAACATTAAGAAATCAATTCTTTAACATAGTGAATGAAAGTGCATAGAATTGACTCATTTCAAACTGACTTACTTTTATTCTGTTCTGATTAATCTGAATTTTCAAACTAATGTAAAATTGGATCTATGTAATTTTGCAATTGTTATGATACATCATAAATTTCAACAGATTAAATTGTATTTATACCCTTAGATATGGGAAAAGTAGATGTATGCAAAAGAGAATGTATATATATGATTAGGAAGAGCTAATATCCAAACAAATAATTTTATTGGGTGTAGCAGCACATCAACATTAGTGCTTAGAGAAGAATTAAAGGAACAAGGAATAGCAATAGACTGGTGGCCATACTCACAAATAAAGATAAGATATAGGAAGGATCAGGAGGAGGGAGGAATAGATTTAAAACAAAATTGATTGGACAAATTATTAGAATCCAAAGAAGGGAAATTAATTTCGAAAATTTATAAATATTTACTCAAATATGATTTGGCAGAAAAATTGGTTAAAGGGCAGATGATAGCCTGAGCGAGGAACATTGGACACAGTATACAACTAGAAGAATGGGAAAGAGCGTGGGAAAATAACTATAGCATGACAAAATCGGTAGCCTACAAAGAAAATCACTATAAAATGTGGTATCGATGGTATCTGGCCCCCGCAAGGTTAGCAAAAATGTACCTAAATGTAAATCCGGCCTGTTGGAAGTGTAAAAAAGCACAGGGAACTTTTTATCAC